CTAAAGGTGCTGGCATTAGAGGCTGCATAGGTCCGCGTTTCTTATATCCGCTTTCATGAAAGCTAATGCGTATTTGGAAAGTAGGCTGGTGCTTTGCGTGAGGCATCCTTTTCTGTACTCATAATGAATGTGTTTCTGAATTTTAAATGCAGGGTTATGGAACTGCAGGCAATCATTTTTGGTCTGTCCTCCAGCATCTAGAAAATTGGGCGAGATTCAAGCTGTACTTGTGGGAAGCCCTGCCCTGCTGAAGAAGGGCAAGTGGGAAGGTCAATCCAGTGAAGCATGTGATGTGCAACTTTACTAACGATTCATCAACACAGGATAGACGAATGCCGTTGCTCATCCAGGCTAGGAAATGATTTTATTTCTTGCATTTTGATGCTTTTATGATTTAGCCCCATTGGCTCAATATGGATTTCTAAAAATCACTTTACCTTTGTGTTTGCAGTTATATCAATACTTTCTTCTTCTTGCAATTGGTTCAGTGAAGTTGGATTGGAAGCTTTGGTCTTAAACTTGGTCTTAAAACCAATGAGGAGAATATTCCCGGCTTTAATCATCTATGCGATGCTTTGAACTCGTATTTCTGCAGTCCCAAGGTCAATCAGAGGCTCCATATGGTACAGGTGGTTAGTCTTTTTTAGTTATCTGAGGCAATCCAGAGGACTTCTTAAGTTGATTTTGCTCTTGGGACTTCAAGCTCAGTTGGCGCGCCTCTACAACTCTGATACCATATCTATCATAAGACAGATGGCAATCGTGGACTGTAAGTCAAGGTGAAGAGAACAAGTCCACACAAGAAGTCCAAGTCAATGATCATTAGTATACAAAAGTGCTGAAATTGGAACACATTGGCATTCAGAGACTGGTCTGTATCTCTTTTCTTGCTCGTTTATCATCTTCACTTGACTTTTTTTCCTTTTGTTGTGGAGCGTAACTCTCTCCAATCAACAACAAGGTAGTGACACTGAGCACTGTTTTTGCTACGCCGCAGTAGTGGCACCTTCATAACTTATATCATCTATAGATGGTCATCCACAGAAAACAAGTATCAAATTGGTTGAATCTTTTGTGGGGCATTAATTTCCAGATTGCAACCTCTGTGGGGTTTTGCCAGAGATCTCACTTGCACTTGCTTGTGCTTGTGCTCTTACAATCCCATTCTGGTTGTGCAGCGGTCTAGAGCTTCATGGGATGCCCTGGTACTCAACTGATGGACTTATAGACCAATGATTGTGGAGCTTTCTTCATGCATTAGTTGACTCCAGTGAGGCTTCTTAACTTCATTGGGAGCTGGTTTTGCTGACCTTTGTTTGTAAGATGGTCAGCTCTCTCATTTCCTTCAATCCCAATATGACCTTTTATGCAGTTCATTGTAGTTGATGCCATGCTTTTGCAGGATTGCAACAGTAGCTTACCAAGTTAAAGGGTTCTCCTGTGAGGCCCAATATGGGGAAAATATCTCATTCAGCTGGGAACTAGATAGGCAAGCAAATCTATTGGTAAGAGGCACCAGTACTCCAACCAGTGCTAGCCTCCTTTAGCAAGCAAGGGCCCCATACAATTTAAAATGCCTCAAGATTGCTAGTGCTATTGCAAGAAGCTTTCTTCAAGGGCCTTCTGACCTCCTCTGACCTCATCTAGGTGACATATTTATCATCAGAATTGCGGGCTCCCTAATGCTCAATGATGTATAAATATGCAATTACTCGTCTAGAGAGCATACCAACATGGACCCCCCAACCTACTTCATAGTGATCAGCATTGCTGCTTTCATATATGTATTCTACAAGGCCACTAAGTGCTCTGTGCTCGACGATATACCAGGACCTGCCTCCAAATCCTTTCTCTTGGGTGAGTTTAAATAATCTCCATACCCTCATCAAAACAGGATATTGAAGATATTTGCAGGTAACCTGGGCGAACTACTGCTGAACCAAGCAGGCTTGGTGAGCATTCTTGTCTACTGTTCCATGGATACAATATTGACAGTGGTACTTCCAGACAGATTTCTCGTGGCAAGAGACTTACGGTGATGTGGTGAAGTTCAAGGCTTTATGTGGGGTGTGTAGCAATGCAATGGTTTATTCAAATTGCTTATACTATCCGGCTTGATAGATCAATCACTTTCTAATTTCCAACCCCAGAGCTCTCCAGCATATCCTTCAAACGTCTGGATATTGATGGGGCAAATTTCAGGAGCGTAAAGAGCTCACCAGAATGATATCTGGGAAAGGGATCTTCTGGGTAGATGGTTTGTAACTGCTACTAATTTTCTGGAGCACATTTGAATGTTGTCGCACTGTCACAGACAATGCACATAAAAGGCAACAAAAAGTCATGCTTCCGGGTTTCAGGACACCTGAAACTAAAAATTTTTTACCTTTGTTCCTATCCTGTGCAGCCTCGGTACGCAGATGCTATTTTCTAATTTCTCGTCTCTGTCAGTGTTAAATAGTCTCATATAGCTGTCCAGACACTGGAGTGATCACCTCATCTCTTTGGAGAAGGATCAGTTGCATGTCTTCAACATTTCAGAATGGGCTTCTAGAGCCACTTTGGATGCACTCGGTCAAGGTTAGTTCAATGCTGGCTAATAAATTGACTTCTTACAGTTGCCTTTAGCGGCCTTTGACTACAACTTTGGAGCTACTGGCAATCATGATAATGAGCTGGGTCAAGTTTACCCAAACATGATGTTAGTGTTATGGGCTACCACCTTTCTGATTTGCATTTCACTGAGTAGCATTGTTGTTGTAGATTTAATGCATTTGGCTCCCCTTCAAAAACTACTCTGGTGATGCTGGAGCTCCTCCAGTTCCTTCCAACTTCCCTCGTGGAGTTCCTCAATAGTAACAACCTAAGCCGCAGAGTTGCTGTCCTCCTAAAGGTTGCCAATGTTGCAAATGCCATTGCTAAAGAGCTTATATCGAAAAAGTCTGAAGTACTGCTTGAAGGAAAAGGCAAGAAAGATCTCATGAGTTTGCTAGGTAAGTATGATGTCATTTTGCCGACCTATCTAACAGGAGCATTCAGTCAAGGCCAATGCTGGAGAGAACCCCAGAGGCCAACTCAGTGAGGACAAAATACTTTTGCCAATGCGGTCTGTGCTATTTACATCTGAATATACTAAAGCTTACAAGATTTTGATATAGCGCTCTGATTTTTGCTGGGCATGAAACTACCGGAAACACCTTGGCTTGGCTTCTTTATGAGCTTGCTCAAAGCCCTGAACTACAGGGCAAACTTTGTGCAGAAATACGTGCTGCTGAAAAAGCTGCTTCTTTATGAGGAGAGTCTGAACTGAGTATTGAAGATTTGGAAGGAATGTCCCTGCTCGGCGCTACAGTTAGGGTTTGTGCTCCATCATTCATGTGCAATCAGAGGCTCTCTTTGACTTTCTACTGGCCACAGGAAACACTTCGCTTTTATCCAGCGGTTTTGCATCTTTTCAGGACTGCTAAAGAGGATGATGTGCTTCCACTTTCAGCTCCCATCATTATGACAAATGGAGAAATCCTTACGGAAATAAAAATGCCGAAAGGCTCCAGAGTTGCCCTTTCCATTCCTGCATACAATAGGCTTGTGAATGCTTTTACTTTATATCTCATTTTACTAACAAACTCATATAGGAATAAGATCATTTTTGGTGAAGGTAAGTCATCCTGCTTCCTGGTGGTCATCTTCAACGTCTTTTCAAGATGCACACATGTTCAACCCCTACTGCTGGCTGGAGCCTGAGCATGTAAAGAAAGGCAGGGCTTCTCTGGGCCCATTTGCAAATATGTAAGTATAGAAACTATCTTGTATGAAAACAATGCCAATCGCTTCATCCAGTGCGACTTTTTCTGGCGGGATTCGTTCATAAGTGCGCCGACTCTGTATTTTCGCGTATCAATGACATTTCGGACCATTATGTAGATGCCTTGGCTGGAGATTCGCGTAAGTGGGCTCAGGCTTGTTATTTCTTTAGAGTGGGTTAACATTTGTTGGTTTCTAGCATAATTGAACTGCAAGCGTTCACAGTGGAGTTGCTGAGCAATTTTCAATTCTCTGCGGCACCCAAAACTGAGAGAATTAGGCGTGAATCAGCTATATTCATGGTACCCACAATTGAAGGTGAAGTCGAGAATGGGGCTCAGCTTCCTTTGAGAGTGGCTTTTGCTCCAAAAGGTGATGAATAAGGGAAATCTGAATAACAGTGTGGATGAAGTATATTTATTATGGCTTACTATTTTCTTTTGCCCAATGAAAGTCTACGCCTGTGTATCTGGCTTGTTCTCACAACCAAAATGAAGAGAACAAGCAAAATAAATACTGGTCTTCCTTGAGATCATTGAGAAAACGGGAACCAGGATAAACGTACCAATTTAAGGCAAAAAGGCGTCATCGTGGGAGTTCCTTGTACTTGCGTAACTAGTCTGTCTGCAGTGCGTAGCTTTAATTTGAGCTTCAAAGAATTTGTCTGCACTTGGTCTGCACCGATTTTCATTCTAAGTAGTACTGTATAATCTTAAGGACGATCTTGTGTGCTTGCTTGCTGTGAATTGATTACAATTAAAATCCCAACACCTTACTTCAGCTCTTTTTGTAGCACTTGACAGCACTAGAAGCGATATTCCCAAGATATTCCTGATGTAATATTAAGTATATGCATCCCAGATCAGATGGATAGGTGACAGTTTCTGTGCACTCCGGTTTACTATCCGGCTCTGACGAGTATATTGATCTTCAGGCCAGCGGTCATTAACCCGAGGGCTTCCTCCAGGATTAACGAGCCTGGTGATTGGTTTGCAGACATTACGAGGGTTGTCATCCGCTAGTTCAGCAGCTTCATGCTAGACACTGGTTGATGGGCTCATCAGACTCCCCACCTAGTACAGTATCTACACTAACATTGTACCAAATCTTCCAAATATTTATTTTTGCGAATTTGAAGATCAACGGGTTCATTTATCTTATCATGCTATATACGAGTTGCATTCAGGCGCAAGCATGGCCGACTAGCTCAGTTGGTTAGAGCGTCGTGCAAATACGGAGGTTGTGGACACATTTGTTACCGATGTGTCCACAGCATCTGGTACACGCGAAGGTCTTGGGTTCGATCCCCACGTTGGCCATATGTGCTGTAGTTCATGATTTTTTTCTTGGATTTTTGACAGTTGCATTGAACCTCAATACTGTTCCTCCTTTTCCCAACTCAGGATGTGTTACAACTACACGTATAAAGGATCTTCTCCCCTCCACCAAATGCACTGTATCACTCGCAATAACATCCACCCATTTCTTATTCAAACATGCATATGTGTGCCAGTACAAGAACAAAAACTCGCAAAAAATGATGCCCAATTGCCAGGTCTACTCGTATATAATGTAGTAGAGCCATTTACCCATAACAATAATAAAAACGTAAAGGAAAGGAATGCTAAGAATGTGCTTTTGAGTCGAGCTGTGGAATTCCGAGAAGCAACAACGAAAGAGAAAACCGGAACCGATAACATGCTAAACGTCAAGATCAATCCACCTCATCAAGCTTCGTCCCCTCCTCTACCAATATCGAAGATCGCTGATCGCCCTTCCCAATCCATCCAACATCTGCCTAATCCCTCTTGCTCTCTGCTCAATATCATCCAGCGTCTTATAAAGCGCCCCGACCTCGTCTACGACGTTTTCAAACGACCCATCCCCACGCCGTGGCAGCGGCAAAGGCGGCGAAGGAGGCCCTTTACCCGCCGCCATCTCGTCCCAAAGGGCAGTAACAACACCTTGTATCCACCGTTCCCGATCTTCCCTCTCCCCCCTCTCCTCTGCCTTGGGGTTGCCATTCTGGTTATTCAACACCATCTGCTTCCCGCCCACCAACCCTAACTTTTCCCTCTCCACCTTCCCCACCCTCATCCACGTCCACACATTACTAGCCACCAGCCCAAGAATAATCGCGTACAGCACCAGCGGGGAGCTGAAGGCACTCGCTATGCCGCCTAAAGAAATGCCAGACGGGGCCGGGATGATATCGCCCAACAACTCCAATGCGCCTTTGGTACTCTTCTTCGCCACAGCCCATGTCCCCTCGAAGGTCTCCCAAGCCCACTGTAGACCCCGAAAACCAATTTGCTTCCCAGAGTCCTCTCCAGCAACAGCATCACCACCCGACGCAGACGAAGGATTACCATCCGCAGCGGATCCATTGACACTACCGAGATCGGTAGGCGGAGCAACGACCACGTCGAGGGTCACCCCTTCCGGCACAAACTCCGTCTGATGTTGCTGGATATACGCACGCATGGCTTTCTCCAGCGCAGCATGATACGTCTTCTGCCCATCAATCGCACTAGAGTTGATAACACCTTTCAGGAGACTCCTCCCCGTCCACTGAACCTCGGTAGTCACCACAACCCGACTACTAATCCCACTCGCAAACGTTATACACGTCCGCGTCTTGACACTGAACGACCCTCCGCTGGGGACGTCCGGTGTTCGAGTGGTTGTTAGAGTGGAGACGGACTGCGAAAAGTCGCAGTAGGAGATCTCGTCTCGGATTTCGCACTTGGTTTGTGCGGGCCCGACTCTTCCGGTGAGGGGTTTGATGTACGACATCGTGCGGTTGAGGAGGTTGGGGTTGGGGTTGGGAGAGTTTGGGGACCAGTCGGACATTTGGAGGTCTGTGACGAGGCAAGGGTTTTATTAGGACGTGAAGAAGAGAGAAAAAAAGGTTGGCCGCCTACCTATCAACTTTTGATCCCCCACCAAAAAGTCCTTGATAAACCCACTCGTAAACATCAGATTATGAATCTTCTCCGGGCTCCCTGGTATCACTGTATTCATCGCAATCTCTGGAAAGTGTTTCTCCAGTCCATCTTTCCCGCACCGGCATTGGGTTACTTTGTTTTGCACTTCGCCAGAGGAAGAGCCAGCAACGGTAGTCTCTTCGACGATTCCCCCGCCTGCGCTTGGACCTCCGCTTCCGCCTCCACTATCCGAGGTAACAACGGAACTCCCTCCGGTATTCAACCCCAAGAAACCACCGATGTCAGGTCTTACGAGTCTCCAAATATTGTATATGAACATCGAACGTCGTATCTCTGGAAAGGAAGGAAGCAAAGTTGTACTTTGCTTGTCGAGTGGTGATGAGGATGGCGTTGGGGATGACAAAGGCGGTCATCTTTTTTTCGAGGGAGATTATTTCGTCGATGGGGATTATGACCTGAGAGGGACGAGTAAATGGAAAACGAAAAAAGGCAAGGAAAGGAAGAGACGTACATCGGTAATCCATCCGAGGATATTAGCATGGAAACAAATATGGTTTTCTGAAATGTAGAGTCTGCCTTGAATGAGAATCTCGCGCTGTAACGCACATCCATAGTCTAAAAATGGACGTCAGTCAGTCACTAGCTCCGAGAGACAGGACCCACCCTCAATCAAATAATCGCCCTCGGGAATACTCCTAAACAGCTCATGAAAGTCTGTATTCCTCCTCGAACTAGCAACCGCAAAGCCCGTGACCTGAGGCAAGCCCATATCATGCCCCATATCCGAACCCACACCGCCCCTTCCCAAGCCCAAAGCCAAATCCACATCATCCGCATCCGCATTCCGCACTGGAATCATCATCGTCATCCTCGTCCTCGTCGCTATCGTCTTCCAGCCCAGAGTAATAATCCAGATTGCTAGCATCAGGGATATACTCTGATCCATTATCACTATGCATCGAGAGACTCGGTCGATGAGCTCTCCCGTTACGTGTTCTTCGTCCGCCAGAACCAATAGACGAGCGCCGGGATTTCGAGGATCGCGGAGGCGAAAATTGAGAAGAGGAGGAAGCACCCCCTGACGTAGACCCTGCATGGAGCATGTAAGGAGCACCCGAATTACTACTCAGGGACGCCTTCCTGGACGAAGCCACAGTACCGGTCCTGGTGACGGCTGGCGGGCTAATTTGGGGTAGGTTGTTGGCAGTAAACGATGGATTAGCCATGGTGAGGCCGGAAGCGGCGATGGCACTGGCGAGACCAGTGGGTTTGGAGGAAGCTGCACGACGCCAAGGCTTATTGCTTTTCTTGTCTGATGGCGGCGAGTTTTTGGTAGAACGAATAGAGACCGCATCAGAGTCGCGCGGAGGAGACGCTAGAAAACTGCTGGTATAATTCCCATTGGCGTGTGGAGTAGGTGTAGGAGTTGTATCATCCGAGAATAAAGCAGAACGACCTGGGAATTCAGAAGTGGGCGACTCGACTATAGGTGTCATATCGTCTACTTCAGTGAAAGCCGGCGCTGTAGCTGCCCGAGAATGGTTTACAGAAGGCGTAACCAAATTCTTGAGCGACTTGTTTGAGCTTATCTTGCGAACCTCCATTTGAGGTGAGGCCAGCTTGTCATTTTTCATCGGTGGCAAAGGCGGCACGGGCGGTAGCACTTCTCGGTGAGTTTGTAGTCGCTGTATTTGGTAGACTGCGTGGGGAGGATGAAGGTGACGACTTGGACCGCGGGCGTGGTTTTTCGGCGGCTGATGCCGGGGACGATGTGATCGACCGGTCCGGTAGGCCATCGACCTCGGGTGCATTTCCCGAACCTCCGTTTCCTGCAGCTGGTAGTCCATCCTGCGCATGCATACTAGGTGAAGGAGGAACAATGGTGAAATTCGGATTGATAAAACTGCTGCTATCGCTGTTATTATCCCTTTCCGAGCTCGGAACTCGACTATGAGGCTGAGTTTTGACCGCCAGATTCGTTTTACTGCCGGTGGGATGCCCGTTGCCATTTAGCGTACCGAATTCGGATGTAGGGATACTCGTGCTAGAAGAAAGTGCGCGGGAACGTCCACTGATACTGCTGCTGTTGGGACTAGGCGTCCTTCCGCTGGGATCTGAGCGGTCTCGCGAATGTACGAGTTTGGAGAGAAAAGAGGGAGCCATCTACGTATGCGATCAGTGAACACGTTGAAGAAAATAATTTATCCCAACGCACGAATTATCCAAATCCAACTTGTCCTGCAAGATTTTCGTCTTTGTCAAATACAGTATCCGGTCGTTATCGTCGTCGTTTGTCGTTATCACCGCAACAGGTCCGAAAGGCCAAAAGCTCAATGACCACACAACAAGTTGCTGCCGTTTGAACGTCCACAGAGCAAAGCTTGGAGCTTGCCAATTCGCAGATGGGCGTTGAATGGAAAGAACCAATTTCGCTGAATCGGGGTTTTCTCACGTAACTCGCGTTTGATCTAATCAAATCAAAAAATTCAATCATGACGCCCAACGACTCCCGTGAAACCGGCGACTCGGACTTGCTCATAATTGCTACGGCGTAGCTATCTCTCATTGAATGGTCAAATTCCTGTGGCCATAGCGTCCGAGAAATAGCGCCTAAGGTGAGCCAGAGCTAGGAAGGAAGCACTAGTAGGAAGGAGGTATGTATCGACGCATAATCGAATCCATTCTCCGACAGGACATTATGGAAACGGTTTATTCGCGTACCTATGCAACTCTCCTGGATGGCGAAGGCGTAGGCTACGTTATAGTCTTCGAAATACATATCATTCCGAGTCCTTTACGCGAAAAAGAAACGAAACGAAGAAGACTCTTTACTGCTAACTTAGGAATCAAGGCCTCAGTGAACGCAGACCCCTACGTGGTAGCACGGCGCTGTATCCAACTGAGCGAATCAGCCATAAATATTGTAGCTGCTGGGGTATGTACTATTTGGATATGATCATTATAGTCCTTTTGCTTACTGTATTTCCCCATCGCATGGGTATTGTAGCTGTCTCAACGTCCAGGTGATTATGAGAATGGCGAACGCGTACTTTGTTTGTCTTCAAATTAAGATACATGCATATATACTTAACATTCCGAGTCCTCTACACAGAAACAGCGAAAAAGGGAAAAAAGAAGAAGAAATATCGACATCAAAGACCTTCACCATACTTATTAGGGATTGAACCCAAGGTCTCAGTGGATGCAGAAGCACCAACTGAATGAATCAACCATAAATATTGGCAGGTTTATAGTCGGATGATCATTATATTCCTCCTTATTTGCGTATTTACAGAAACTCTGAGAATAAATGTGGTGCCGGTTTTATTTAATTTTATTTTCAGATTGAAAAGCTGACAGATAAGTATAAT